TCCCCCAAAATGGCTAGTTTGCAGAATCCATGTGGCTGTGTCTTCAAGAAGGCCACTTCCCTTTGGCACTCCTGAGTTGGGAGGGGGAGAGCGAATTATTTTAACAAAATAATGTGGTAGGAGGTGCCAAAAAGCAGAAAAAAAATGCTTTCCCTTAGAAGTTTTAAAAAGCAAAGCTTGAAAAATAAAAAGAGAAGGCAGAAACTGAGACAGAGGTAGACAGACAAAGACAGGTACAGAGACAGGAAGCCTGGTAGGGGTCTTCCTACCAATCAAGGTTTGTGTGCTGGAAGCCAAATTATCAGTGGGAAATCTTGATTTCTGTTCCCCCAAAATGGCTAGTTTGCAAAATCCTTGTGGCTCTGTCTTCAAGAAGGCCAATTTGCTTTGCCTATCCTTGCTTGGCAGGGGAAAAGTGAATTATTTTATCAAAATATGGCAGTAGGAGGGGCCAGGAAGTGCAGAAAATTCTTTTCAGTTAAAAACTCTAAAAAGCATATATTTAAAAAAAAATGAGGAGTCACAGACTGAGACAGAGGTGGAGACAAACAAACCCAGGTAAAGAGACAGGAGGCCTGGAAAGGGTCTTCCTACCAATCGAGATTTTTGTGCTGGAAGCCAAATTATCAGTGGGAATTCTTGATTTCTATTCCCTCAAAATGGCTAGTTTGCAGAATCCATGTGGCTGTGTCTCCAAGAATGCCTCTTTTCTTTGCCTCTCATGGGTTGGGAGGGGGAGAGGAAATTATTTTAACAAAATTTGGCAGTAGGAGGTGCCAGAAAGTGCAGAAAATGCTTTACATTTAAAAAATTCTAAAAAGCAAAAACTTTAAAAATTAGACAGAGACCAAGCCAGAGGAAGAGACAGACAAAGACAGGTAGCGACATGGGGCCTGGAAGGAGTCTTCCTACTCGCAAGTTTTGTGTGGTGGAAGCCAAATTATCAGTGGGAAGTCTTGATTTCTGTTCCCCCAAAATGGCGAGCATGCAGAATTCATGTGGCCGGGTCTGAAAGAAGACCTCTTCCCTTTGCCTCTCCTGGGTGTGAGGCGGAGAGGGAAATATTTTAACAAAATAAGGCAGTAGAAGGGGCCAGAAAGTGAAAAATGCTTTCCCTTAAAAAAGTCTAAAAGGCAAAAATTAAAAAATAATGAATCTGAGACTGACACAGATGTAGAGACAGAAAAAGACAGGTACAGAGATAGGAGGACTGGTAGGGGTCTTCCTACTTGCGAGTTTTGTGTGTTAGAAGTGAAATTATCAATGAGATGTCTTGATTTCTGTTCCCTAAAAATGGCTAGTTTACAGAATCCACGTGGCTGTGTCTTCAGCAAGGAGTCTTCCCATTGCCTCTCCTGCATAGGGAGGGGGAGAGGGATTTTTTTTTAACAAAGTTTGGCAGTAGGAGGTGCCAGAAAGTGCAGTAAATGCTTTACATTAAAAAATTCTAAAAAGCAAAAATGTAATAAAAAAGATTAGGTAGACTGAGACAGTGGTATGTCTCGACCCGCGAGACAGTGGAACAGGTTTCCTGAGGGAAGGAGTGAGAGACGGGACGAACGGCACACTATCACAGCACGGAGAAGACACAGTGTCTCTTCAGGGTCATCTCTTTATTGTAGGCAGCACGGAGATGACACAGTGTTCAGGGTCATCCGGAGCCGACACAATGGAGCCGACACTATGTCGCCACAGCTCAGGGTCGTCCGGAGATGACGCAGCATCACAGCTCAGGGTCGTCCGGAGACAGCGTGGTGTCACATCTCAGGGTCATCCAGAGACAATGCAGTGTCGCAGCTCAGGGTCTTCCAGAGATGACGCGGTGTTGCAGCTCAGGGTCGTCTTCTTCCTGGTCGTCTGTGTTGTCTTCCTGGTCATCTGGCGATTATGGGCCAGAGATCCTGCTTATATACATATTGGTGGGCCGTGATTGGTTGAATGAAGGATAGCAAAAGGTGGGTTATAATTGGTTGCTTTGTGGAGCAATCATGAGGTACCTGGATATGCAAATTTGAGGGATTCTAAGCTCACTGATTTGCTATGTGAAGTGGCCAATCAGAGTGGGTGTCGAAGGTGAGGTTTTTAAAAGGGAGCCAGTTGGGGCCTTTGTAGTTGTTTGCTCTCTGAGCCTAAGATGGCAATAGTAAGAGACTCATGAAAAATGGCCTTGGCAGACTCACTGGTGCACAGCCTCCCACAGTGGTAGAGACAGACAAAGACATTTAGAGACAGGGGGCCTGGATAGGTTCTCCCTACTCACAAGTTTTGTGTGCTGGAAGCCAAATTATCAATGGAAAGTCTTGATTTATGTTCCCCCAAAATGACTAGTTTGCAGATTCCATGTGGCTGTGTCTCCAAGAAGGCATCTTCCCTTTGCCCCTCTTGGGTTGGGAGGGGAAGAGAGAATTATTTTAACAAAATGAGGCAAGAGGAGATGCCAGAAAGTGGAGAAAACACTTTCCCTTAAAAATTCTAAAAAGCAAAAATTTAAAAATAAAGCAGAGACAGAGACCGAGACAGACATTGAGACAAAGACAGGTAAAAAGACAGGAGACCTGGAAAGGGTCTTCCTAACACGTGAGATTTGTGTGCTGGAAGCCAAATGATCAGTGGGAAATCTCGATTCCTGTTCTCCCAAAATAACTAGTTTGCAGAATACATGTGGCTATGTCTTGAAGTAGACCTCTTCTCATTGCCTCTCCTGGGTAGGGAGGGAAATTTTAAGAGGGAATTATTTTAACAAAATTAGGTGGTAGGAGGGGCCAGAAAGTGCAGAAAATGCATTCCCTTGAAAAATTCTAAAAAGCAAGAATCTTTTAAAAAAGTGAAATCAGAGATCGAGATAGAGGCAAAGACAGACAAAGACAGGTACAGAGACAGGAGGGCTGCACAGAGTCTTTTTACCATGTGAGTTTTCTGTGCTGGAAGGCAAATTCTCAGTCAGAAATCTTGATTTCTGTTACCCCCAAATGGCTAGCTTGCTGAATCCATGTGGGTGTGTCTCCAAGAAGGCCTCTTCCCTTTGCCTCTCCCAGTTTGGGAGGGGTAGAGGGAATTATTTTAACAAAATTACACAGTAGGAGGAGCCAAAGAGTAGAAAAAAGGTGTCCCCTTAAAAAATTCTAAAAAAGCAAAAATTGAAGAAAAGGAGAAGACAGAAACTGAAGGCCTCTTCCTTTGCCTCTCCAGGATTGGGATGGGGGGAGGGAATTATTTTAAGAAAATTAGGCTGTTTGAGGTGTCAGAAAGTGGAGAAAATGCTTTCTCTTAAAAATTCTAGGGAGCAAAAATTTAAGAAAGAAGAGGAGACAGAGACCGAGAATAGGTAGAGACAGACAAAGAGACAGGGGTCCTGTAAAGGGTCTTCCTACTGGCAAGTTTTGTGTGCTGGAAGACAAATTATCAGTGGGAAGTCTTGATTTCTGTTCTCCCAAAATGGCTATTTTGCAGAATCCACTTGTCTGTGTCTTCAAGAAGGCGTCTTCCCTTTTCTTCAACTCCGTTGGGAGGGGGTGAGGGAATTATTTTTAAAAAAGAAGGCCGGAGGAGGGGCCAGAAAGTGCAGAGAATACATTCCCTTAAACAATTTTTAAAAACAAAAATTTTTTAAAAAGAGCAATTAGAGACAGAGATATAGGTAGAGACAGACAAAGACAGGTACAGAGACAGGAGGACTGGAAAGGGTCTTCTTACCACGGGAATTTTGTGTGCTTGAAGCCAAATTATCAATGAGAATTCTTGATTTTTGTACCCCCAAATGACTAGTTTACAGAGTCCACGGGGATATGTCTTCAGGAAGACGTCTTCCCTTTGTCTCTCCTGCATAGGGAGTAGGAGAGGGAATTATTTTAATAAAATAAGGTGGTAGGACAGGGCAGAAAGCTCAGAAAATGTTTAACATTAAAAAATTCTAAAAATCATTAATTTTAAAATTTAGGAATCAGAGACTGAGACAGAGGTAGAGACAGACAAAGACAGGTACAGAGACCTGGTGCCTGTGGCATGGAAGGACACTCTGTGAAGAGAGGCAGAGCAAGTAAATGCAATAGAATAGATGGACTCCATGGGGGGAAAAAAAAAAGGAAAAAAAGCAACAGAAAATTTCTATCTATGTACTAAATAAGTGGAGTCAGGGTCTTAGAAAGACTGGAAGGGGGGTGGGGGCCAGAGATGACCTTCCCTCAGAGTCCCTTGCTGACCAAAGGTTTCTATATGGACCTGGTGCATGTGGTCTGGAAGTACAGTATGTGAAGAGAAGCAGAGCTAGGAATTAGCAATAGAATAGATGGGCTCCAGAGGAAAAAAAAGAAAAGAATGGAACAAAAAATTTCTACCTACCTCCCAAGGAGGTGGAGTCTGGGACTGGGAAGACTGGAAGTGGGGTGGGGGTCAGAGATGATGCTCCGTCAGAGTGCCTAGCTGACCAGAGGCTTCTTGTTTGACCTGGGCCTCTGGCCTGGAAGAAGGGTCTCTGAAGGGAAGCAGAGCTAGGAATTTGCGATAGAATAGATGGGCTCTAGAGGGGAAACAAATGCCACAGAAAAATTCTATCTACCTACCAAGAAGGTGGAGTCTGGGGTTGTGAAAACTGGAAGTCAGGGGAAGGTCAGAGATGACTCTCCCTCTGAGTCCCTTCCTGACCAGAGGTTTCTAATTGGACCTGGTGCCCGTGGCCTGGAAGGACAGTCTGTGAAGAGAAGCAGAACTAGGAATTAGCAATAAAATAGATGGGCTACAGGGAATAAAAAAAAAAGAAAAAAAAAGCCACAGAAAATTTCTATCTACCAACAAAGGATGTGGAACCTGGGGCTGGGAAGACAGGAAGTGGGGTGGTGGTCAGAGATGACCCTCCCTCAGAGGCCCCTGCTGACCAGAGGCTTCTATTTGGACCTGGTGCCTGCAGCCTGCAAGGACAGTCTGTGAAGAGAAGCAGAACTAGGAATTAGCAATAAAATAGATGGGCTACAGGGAATAAAAAAAAAAGAAAAAAAAAGCCACAGAAAATTTCTATCTACCTACCAAGGAGGTGGAGTCTGTGACTGGGAAGTCTGGAAGTGGCGTGGGTGTCAGAGATGACTCTCCCTCAGAGTCCCTTGCTGACCAGAGGCTTTTAGTGGAACGTGGTGCCCGCGACCTGGAAGGACAGTGTGTTGAGGCGAGGCAGTGCTAGAAATTAGCAATAGAAAAATGGGGTCCATGAGAAATAAAGAAAAAAAATAGCCACAGAAAATTTCTAATTACCCATCAAGGAAGTGGATTCTGGGACTCGGAAAACTGGAAGTGAGGTGGGGGTCAGAGATGACACTACCTCAGAGTCCCTTGCTGACCACAGGATTCTAGTTGGACCTGGTGCCTGGAGCCTGGAAGGACAGTGTGTGAAGAGAGTGGTAGAGCTCGGAATTAGCAATAGAATGGATGGGCTCCAGGGGAAAAAAAAGAAAAAAAAAAGCCACAGAATATTTCTATGTACCTACCAAGAAGGTGGAGTCTGGCACAGGGAAGACTGGAAGTGGGGTGGTGGTTAGAGATGATGCTACCTCAGAGTACCTTCCTAACCAGAGGCTTCTAGTTAAACCTGGTGCATTCATCCTGGAAGGAGACAGTCTGTGAAGTGAGGCAGAGTTAGGAAATAGCAATAGAATAGATGGGCTCCAGGAGAAAAAAAAAAATAGCTACAGAAAATTTCTATCTACCTACCAAAGAGGTTGAGTCTGGGGCTGGGAAGACTGAAAGTGGGTGGGGGTCAGAAATGACCTCCCTCAGAGTCCCTTGCTTAACAGAGGCTTTGAGGTGGACCTGGTGCCTGCGACCTGGAAGGACAGTCCGTGAAGAGAGGCAGAGGTAAAAATTAGCAATAGAATGCATGGGATAAAGGGGAAAAAAAAAGAAAAAGTCACTGAAAATTTCTATGTACCTACCAAGAAGGTGGAGTCTGGGGCTGGAAAGATTGGAAGTGGGGTGGTGT